CCAGTCCGAAAAATCTTTAGTGGCACACCTACTGCTGTGAAAATACAATAATACAGGCGGGGGGGCAATTGAGAGTTCTTTCTCGTTTAGCCTGCATGCTGAAGGAGAAAAAAAAACCTATAGGTGTATAGCCAGCCTTAGGATACACAGGATGAACATCAGACCTGTCCAAGCACGAGGCAGGTCATGTGTTTGGCTGCCAGTTTCCCTCAAAAGGAGAAAATACTGTGCCAGGATCACTCCAGTGCTGGTATTGTGGCCAAAAGCCTAGGCATGTGGTCCTGTGATCTCTGATCAGAGAATGGACTAGCTGACTATCCAAAAGCCTAGCCATGCCATGTGGTCATGTGATCTCTGACCAGAGAATGGACTAGCTAACTATCCCCTTCAGCAGAGATCATATGGATGAAGGCATATGCTTTTATTACTTTGTGGGAGGGCTGTCACAACCAAAGCATTTCATGTATTTATGTATTATGGTTATTTATATAGTGCTGACAATATGCACATTCACATCAGTCCCTTTCCTTAATTAATTAAATGTATTTTTTTATTTTTAACCTGGATATTTAGTAGTTATAAACCTTAACTGGATGGCAATACGTTTGTTAACCCCTTCATGACTGAGGCCCTTTTTTCATTTTTTGCACCCATGTTATATTCCACATTTTAGGCCTGAAAATGACGTAAAACCCCCCAACATTATATATTTTCTGAATGCCAAGACCCTATAGAATAAAATGGTGGTAGTTGAAAATTTTTATGTTGTGCAATATTAGCGAAGGCGCTAGTTACATATGAATAAGCCGCGACTCATTCTCCCAAGAAAAAAAATGTTTGCGTGTCGCTAGAGTGTTTGGGTTTCGCTTGAAGAAAAGGTGGCAACCCTAAGTATAGCTCAACTATTGTGTAGTTGCATAGGAAAGGATTGCCCTGGCCACAGTTGATTGGGCCAGCACTGACAAGTTCCTTAGGACTAACTCAAGATTGAACCAAACCCAAGTTCATCCCTAGTGACAACACAGGAGCACAATTAGGAAACGGTTGCCACCCAATAACAGGAAGCATCGGAACAAAACACAAATTTTATGGCTTTTTCCATCTAACTTCACAAGCCTGGGGACTGCTGGATGGAGCAGGAGATATAAATCTAGAATGTTTTCCATTGACATTCAGCCCAAAATATGCGGCTGACCATAAATTTGCTGTTTGTTTGTGAAATATTGAACTCGTCTCCCTTCCAGTAGTTTACAGACAGTGGAATATTATGGAAGAACGCAACGAGGGGTATAGATATCAGACTGCAGCACAATGAGATGGATTATGTCGAAGCAGAGCCACGGACTCATCCCAATAACTAGGTGAAATGACAGCTAGATTGCCGGGTAGCCTGGTGTGACCTGTCCTGCGCTGAAAACACAGGAAGACGACACTAATTTGCATTGCAGCCGGCGAGGTTCCAAGTCAGAATTCTGAAACCCAACAGAGTGTTCAGCAGGAGGATAATGAGGTGCAGTGGAGATAACAGGCTCCGTTCAATAAGCTGAAAAGCAGCACAGTGCTGTCACCCAAAGCAACTGATTGGAAATGTTCAAGTTTGTCCGGCCATGCTATGAGGGTAGTGGTCCTCAGCAACTGTTTACTGCAAGGGAACTACAAGTATCAGGAGGGCTGCCTACAGACCTACAATATATCACCTCTTTCAGTTTCCGACTGGCCTGCGGGTATGGAAATATGTATTCCTTTAGGTATTGGTTACCTAATACTAGCCACACACATACAGTGCAATCCAATTGCACAATCTCTGTGCAATATCCTTTTTAGGACCCGTGTCAACAGGCTTTGGGTTTGTGTTGATGGCATCAGTTTGAGATGTTTATGAGGCCATTCAGAATCCATTAACAGGTGGATCCGACCTGCAGTTGACCTCCTTCTGACCTGCAGTTGACTACCTTCTGAACTGCAGTTGACCACCTTCTAAACTGCAGTTGACTACCTTCTGACCTGAGTTGACCACCTTCTGACCTGCAGTTGACCACCTTCTGACCTGCAGTTGACCACCTTCTGACCTGCAGTTGACCACCTTCTGACCTGCAGTTGACCACCTTCTGACCTGCAGTTGACCACCTTCTGATCTGCAGCTGACTTCCTTCTGGCCTGCAGTTGACCTACTTCCAACCTATATTGGACCACCTTCTGACCTCCTTCAAATATTTTTATGGGAATGCAAAACCCACTGGAAGCAAACAAAAGCCCATCAACACAGACCACAGGCGCTAAGCTCCCATTCACCTAGCAGCGTGCATTGCATGTATGGGTGTATTTGTGTATTTTTGGCACACATGTGCATGGCAGCCCATTCATCTCAATCATTGCAAAGAAGAGCATGCACCCTTCTTTAAAAGCATGTTACGAAGCGTTTTGGCGCACACTTTTTGGTACTTGGGGTGCTATGAGAATGATTGGCAGTGAAGTATAACTCCCCAAAAGACATGCATTCTTCAAGCATTTCAGTATGGGCGTTATCTAGTGACATGCTGCCAACAACTGTGTAGTTTGGGAACCTATCTGACTGTATATAAAGTAAATTGATTTTATTTGGTAATGATATAAAAGAGATGGTAAATCAGATTGTATGTTTTACGGCCACTGCACATGAGCCTGAAGACACGGTAACCAGAATACATTGTGAGACATATGTTATTGAACTGAACACCAATGCGCCTTAGAAGTTTATCATATCACAAAATGATAAGTCTGATTAGATGTACCTAATGTGCTCATGGAAAGGGCCTGAAAGGCAGCTACACACAAGGATCTCTGTAACTGAAGAGTCTGTTGAGAAACTTTCATCCAGTTTTCTGTTCTTTACTAAAACAACAAAGCTGTAGAGCCATAAGCCAGAAAAGAGCTTTACTGCCGCCTAGGCAATAACAATGAGATCATCCCACTCCAGTCAATAGTGGATGTATATGTATTTCCATGTAATGCAAGATTATTGGGAAGCCTTGACTGTGGGTTATGAAGATCCACATTATGTATGTGCAGCCTAAAGGGTAAGCACCTGGTCCCAAAAATTGATATTCCACTTGTAGATGGGGTTTGCTGGTCACATGGCTTACTATATTTACTGGGGTCTCCAGCAGGGAAAGAAGGAATCCCTGGAAATGACCAAACCAGATGTGAAGACTGGGGAGCTCACCACAGGAGCCTTTAGAAATATGGGGCACTGTTAGGCCTGGTCCACACCTGGGCATTTTACAGCGCGTTCCTACGCGCTGTAAAACGCTCAACATGTGAAAACCAATAATTGCCTATGGGCATGGTTCCCACTGTACAGGTTCCCACAGTACAGGAGCTTCTTTGGGGCGTATTTGCCGCGCGTATCCATTAGGATACAGCCGGATAGCCCTCGGAAATGCGCGTTTGTCGCGTGTTTCCTTTACCGCAAATCGCGGTAAAAACACGCGGCATGAAACGCACGGCAAACGCATATTCCGTACACCCAGGTGTGAACCCAGCCTGAGGTGTTTTTAAGGAAAACTCTAAACCTTAATAATTCATAAGTCATCAAAATAACAAGGATAAAGCTGTTCATCTACCAGTAAGCCCAAAAATAAGGCATCATGGGCCTGTCTGTACATTCAATTATCTTTGGAGTATTCCAACCTCTATTTTGCAAATGGTAACTTTAGGTCCAACCCCTCCCAAATTCCGCTATTGGTATGGGGCATAAACCATGACAGATGTGGACTATTAGAGCGAGGGATGGGACAGGCATAATTTCAGGATCTATAGTTGTAATTAGTGTAATAGAGCACCCTGGATTTTTGACTCCCACCCCCATCAGGGTGTAGGTACCCCTTGGTGCATTTATCTTAATTTTGCTGGTAGTTTAATAACTTGTACCTATGCACACAGGTTCATAGTAGCACATCATGAAATGGGATTCAACCCATTGAATACTCCAGAAGAGAGTCATCCGTGCACCGAGTGTGGATTGCGGGGACGCATGATAGGGGTGAGCTGTGCGCTTTGTGTTTTCAGTGTACATTCAATTATCTTGTAGGGCTGCTTTGGAGTACTCCAACCTCTGTTTTCCAAATGGTAACTTTAGGTTCAACCCCTCCCGTATCCCACTATTGGTATGGGACACCAACCATGACAGATGTGGACTTATAGTGCGCGGGGAGTGACAGGCATGATTTCAGGATCTATAGCTGTAAATTGTGTAATAGAGCACCCTCTATTTTTGACTCCTACTCCCATCAGGGTGTAGGTGCCTCTTGGGGCAGGCATTTTAATCTTGTTGGTAGTTTAGGAACTTTTACCTGTGCACACAGGTTTATTGTAGCTCATAATAAAATGGGTTCAGGCAATGAATTGAGCATCTCTACTTAAGATTTGTAAGGAAGTATGATTTCTAAAAAAAATTGCCTAAATAGGTCCATCAATCTAGAACCATGTGACTGTTCAGTGAAGATATTTACTCATTTTACTAAATACTAATAATGGCTGAAAACCATAAACAGCCGGATAACAACAAGTGATGTACCAAATGCATGCAATTCTCACGATAATCATAGGGGTTAACAGTTGAGCGATAAGGAGTCCTCTAGAGCATCAGAAGCTCATTGTTGTATCCAGAGACTTTCCAATCCGTGCTGGAAAATCTCAGACCTATCGATCCTCTAACCTTTCACCCTGCATCTGCTAACCGAGTAAAGGATTAGATTTTGTTAAGTCTTGTTGTGGACAGATTTCTCACTCCTGTCTTTCTTGGTAAATAGATTTGTTGATGGGACCTAAAAAAATACACTTAAAGGTTGGAGCCTTCTCTCCGATTTATCCTGAGTCAATCCAATCTACGAGCACGGCTAAATCTGGTTGACCAAGACCATAGCTGTATCACAAGGGAGAGCGTCATAGGGTGATTGCATACATCTATCACGTAATACTGTAATAACAACAAACACTTATATTTTCCATTTCTTCCTTACCTTGCTCCAGTTCTCCAGCTGCAAACTGACACCAATCCACCAACAATTTGAAAACTAATAAAACTCCAAAAGCCAACTTGGTCTTCTTAATCCGGCCCATAACTCAGATATAATCAAACCTCCTTCCTAGGAGTCAGAGCTTAGAAAACGGTGACAATTTTTCCTGCGGCCAAACTCCCGATTACATCCAATGGGAACACTTCAAGGAAAGTTCTACAACCAAATATCAAGGGCAAACGTGAAAAGGAACATCATCATTTCTGAGACAGGCTTAACTTGTCCAGACACAATCCTGATGCTTAGAGAGTGAAAGGGCAAAAAAAAAATGAAGAAAGAAACTCCTTTTAGTGTCCTTTTATCCTGATCACAAATTACCCCGTGGCAACTGTCAAAACCAAACAATGAATGAAAAGCAATTAAACGCCTGCTGGGAACTTTTCACAAGACACCTCCAGGCTGCAAGAAGGTGTCGGGGGTCTTCGGCAACAAGTCGAAGACTTTGAGGGTCTGTCATGAAAAGCGAGCCGTAGAGAAAAACACAATTGTTAAATGAATTCTCATCTCATAGCATACACATGAGTAAATTCCAGGCAGGCAGATGTCACAAGCAGTGTCACAGAGTTCTGAAAAAGGTGGGGGGGTAGAATGAGTTAAAGCGCTCTTACTTTCCGACAGGCACTACCATTGGAGAAGAAGGAGTTTTTGGACAAGCCGAGTCTTCGTCAGCCCCCCTTTCCTATCGCCTGACCTGCCTCTGCACCTTCCCCCTTTTTTTCTTCACTGCTTAATGCGAGCTGTCCAATGGATGCACTTGTGTGACAGTGACACAGAGCTTGGTCCTTCAAGTCTTCTGCTGGGGGAAGATTTAGCTTGGAGGCAACTAGCACTCAGCAACACCTTCTCCTCCTCCTGCTCCAGCCTCACCACTGCTGCTGCTGCTGCTTCTCCCACCTTACAAGCTGATTGCTCTTAGGAAAAAAAAAAAGGAGAGGGAAGAAAAAACCCACTAGCAGGCTGCCTCCTTCCTCCTCCTCCTTCTGGGGAGCCTCCTCCTCCTCAGCTGCATGCTACAGCCGGCTGCCTACAAGGCTCTGTCTACAGCCTAGAAACACACACAAAGCTCAGCTCATCTCTAGGCAGGACACTTGTGAGCACACAGACCCCCCTGGTGTGGAGTCCTCTCACTTCCCTGTGCTGTGTCAGAGGAATGCTAGTCTGCACAGTCCCAGCAGAGGAGGAAGAATACAGAGATACATTGTTCCAATCAAGAAGCATGAGGAGCAGGAGCATCACATTCCACGCTACATGTTTTGCTTGCAATGGATTGTGTTATGCTTTTGTTTGTGTTATATTTTTGTTGTTTGGTAAATATGTAGAATGTAGCCATTGTCATGCTTTCTTATATTCACACCAAATGCAGACCAGATCTGCATACGTTTCTGCACACGCAGTGCAGTGTGTTTTGCCGCGTTTTTGCCATGTTTTTGACGCGTTCAGGGCCGTTTTTGCAACAAAAAACAAAAACTTTTTTTTAGTTTAAAATGGGCTTTTAGTGCGTTCCAGTGCGTTTGCATGCGTTCCAGAGCAGGTAAAATAGGGCTTGCTGCCATTTTTTTACATGCTCTGGAACTGATCGCTGCAGTGTGAACTAGAGCCCAAAATACCATTGGAATACATTGGACGCAGTTTTGATCTGGTCTGTAACTGCTCTGCTCCTGGAACGCGCTTGGTGTGAACTAGCCCTTAAAGTGACACTAAACTTAGGAGTTAAATCTTAAAAATACATTCAAGTATCTTCACTATTAATAAAAATGTATCTTATTTGTGTATCACTCGGCTGTAGATCCTCAAATCATTTATCAAAATCTGGAGCAGCTGTGCATGGCAACCAATCAGCATCTCTCTCTCGTTTTCAAATCTTAACTGAACAAACTGAAGGAAGAAGCTGATTGGTAGCCAGGGGGTACTGCTCCAGATTTTTTACTGCTCCAGTTTTGATGAATTCCCCCCTATGTATGTAAGTTTTGTGTAAATTGATGTTGTTATATAAATATCCATAATTAATAAAAATACATAGATACTGTAAGCCCGAATTTTCTTGATTTTTTTTTAAGCATGTTTTGCACTTATTTATGCATTTTAATAAACATTTCAAGGGGTTTGACCAATGACTTTGAAGTATAGGTTGCTGGGGAGTGGGGGCTTGTCATGCTCCAAAATGCACAACAATGCATGGTTGTTACATACGTTTTTCATGTGCTCCCATTGACGTCTAAGGGGCTAAAAAATCACCAAAAGAAGTGTCTGCACCAAGTGCGTTACATAGGTGTGGATGGGCCCCATAGTAAATAACGGAATTCCCTTTGTCATGCATTGTCAAGCGACGGTCAAAGTTTGGCACTGGTGTGAACGGGGTCTAAGTATGTGTGTACTGTATATTTCAACAACATACTGTTTGCCACACTCAACGATGAAGGTTATCAGCATTGAAATGGGAACACAACATTTATATATATATATATATATTA